GTCCTATTAAGCAGTTTTGAAACTCATTGCTATTTGTTTCTCAGTAAAATAAAATAAAATAAAATAAAGATTGGAGTAGAAAAAAAAAAGACAGAAAAGGCAGGTGACTGAAGGCTCAGGGAGGATGAGCATAAGTCCCAGCTTTATCGCAGGTTGTGTATCCTTTATCCAAAGTGCTCAGAACAGGGCCTTTTGCATTTCAGGCTTTCAGATTAGGGATGCAGTGTTTATTCACTGTGTGATCCTGGAATTGCCACCTCTTGGCACTTTATAGGTGCCCTTCGTAGAGTGATTGTGAGGACTGGAAGGCTCGCAGGAGGGGGACCCAACACAGCTCACATGCTTGCTACAGGCTTCTCTCCCCCTATTCCTCTCACAGGGAGGCTTCTTGTCGGCCTGGAGACCAGCCGCTTATCTACCTCTTCTGTGAGATGAAGAGGTGAGGCTGCCGGCATTATAATGCTTACCAGTGGTAAATGTGTCAAGCCCTCACCAACTGCAAGGCCGCAAACCTAATTCCTAAAGGTAGCATGGTACTGGTGACTGAGGGGAGTACTAAGATATAGCACCTTGGTAAAGCCCACCCTGGTCAGGTCCTTCTTGAAGGAGTGACTTCACCTTCCTGAAGAGTTGGCCTTGGATGTGTTGAAGTGGCCCAGCTCCAATAATACATCTCACAGAGGTCCTGCTCATTTATGGGAAGGACAATCAGGTCATAATAGGAACTCAGGGATGATAGGAAGTGTGAGAAGGGGTGCAGAAGCCTGTGTTTTCTGTAAGCCCCCATGCCCTCTTCATGAGAGGGAGAACAGTCCCAGAACATGGATAGCTCCCAAGAATGTCCTTTCTGGACAACTGCAGCTCTGGGTCTAGTCTGCCATCCAAATCCAACCTGGACCCAAGTACTTGTGCAGTAGCCATAGTAGAGTAGCTGGAGGCAAAAAGAGGGAGTGTTCAGTGTGTCAGGATGGGGCTGGGGAGATGGCTCAGGAGAATAAGCGCTTGCCTGGCCAGTGCAAGGGTCTGAGTTCAATCACCGGTTCCGTCAAAACAGAAAAAAGGATCAGTGTGCCAGGATGCCTGGGGCTGCCATCTTGGGGGTGGAGGACTCTGAGGCAAACAACTGTGCTCGAGCCCTGCCTTGGTGGATGTCCCCACACATGGAGGGCCCAATCTGTGGGGCAGGTTTTACCACCCTCATCTTGATACCACCAAGCCCACCTATCTTTCTAGGCCACCAATTTGACCCATCCCCTACCACTGCTCACATTCCTGCCTTGGACCATTATACAGAATAAAGTCCTAGCTTCCTGGCAGAACTACAACTTTCCCTGTTACCAACTTCTCCAGCTTCATCTCCTACCCCTCCTCTGTCTACATCCTGCTTCTAGCCGCATTCCACCTCTAGGCCTTTGCGTATGCTGTAACCACCTCCCCCTTCCTCTCTGCCTAACAGAATCAGACTCAGGTCCAGCAGCAACATCCTCGCTTCTTGACCTTCTAGTACACCGTTCCCTCCTCCTCTGTAGCTGCTATCCACATTCGCTGTCAGTGGACTGTGGAATGTGCCTCTCTGCCAAGCCGGCCCCACAACCAAGGCATAGAGCTGATGAGGTTCCTGCCCTTGGCAAGTTCCTGGTCTGGTGGAGGGGCAGACACTGCAGATAGATGGTGACAGCACAGGAGGGAAGGGATGAACTTGGCATAGCCTTCCATGTTTTGCTGGCTGTTCTGTGACCACTGACTTTGGGATGTCAGTGGTCACAAAAACAGGGACTAGATCTGATGACCCAGGCCTAATTAGCACCCAGCCAAGAGAAGGTACCTGGAAAAAAATATGGGGAAGTGTTGTGTACTATAGGTTCACAATGGATAATTTTGCATACTTCTCTAAGGGATAGAGGTTTGGATCACCCTTTTGAGATTTCCCATTAACTCTTTAGGTATGGGCCATCTTTTCCCATCCACCAAGACTGAACCAAAAGCACTAAGATTACAAGAACACTCTAGGATAAGATCTTCCTTAGCAGGCTGGGAATATAGCTCAGCAGTACCAGTGCCTGCCTAATGAGTGCAAGGTCCTGAGTTTGATTCCTGGTACCCCCCCCCACCAAAAAAAAAATCCTCCTTAGCACAAGATCATCTCCACCCTCTTGAGTCATCACAAACTATCTCTGGCCTTCTAAGTCTTCCACTAATTCCTCCTATCATTGCATGCACTGCATAAACAGTGGCTGGCCTGGAGTATCTTCATCAGCATTGACCTTCCAGCCCCCAGTCACATATGAATAAATTTTTTTTTGTATGAATAAATGTGTCTCTGTTTCTTTTTTTTTTTTAATTTTATTTATTTATTTGTGTGTGTGTGTGTGTGTGTGTGTGTGTGTGTGTGTGTGTGTCCAGCTCAGCCCACCAGGGGGCGGGGCTGGCTGGCATGTGGTGCTGGGGGGATTGAACCGTGGTCCCTGTGTTCTGCTAAGCTTGTTCTAAATAGGTGCTTTAGACCACTGAGCCATCTCACCAGCCCCTCTGTTTCTTATTTCATCTTTTTCACCACACCCTTCATACTGGCAGGTGGGGATCTTGGCCTGGGTCCAATACTGAAGCAGATGAATTTGGGATCTGAATGTTTCAAGTGGGCCTGTTTACCTGAAGTCTTGACATTTACTAAGATAATGCTATCTTGTTTTTTTATCACACCGTGGTAACATCCTTTACATGTTATGATTTCACCAGATCCTCAAATCCTCAAGTGAAATCTGAAAACTAGGAACTGTCACCTTTATTTCATGTTGCAGAACCAGAAGCCTAAACAGGACAGGGACAGTGACCTGTCCGAGGGCACTTGGCAAGTCCGTGGTAGAGAAGGGGCCAGAACCCAAACTTCCTGCTTTCCAGCTGACGCTTGGCCCCTCAGAGCACACCAGAAGTGAGTGGGTGGGCCTTGAGTTCCAGCCCAGGGAGAGCCTTCCATTGGAGACCCTTCAAGAGCAGGCACAAGTCACACAGTGACCTGGGATCTTGCTGCAGGCAGGGGTCCTGGCTCTAAGAGCACCCTCTTGGAAAAAAGGATACAAGTATACACTGGTACCTTCAGCATCCACCCGGCTGTACTCTTCTTTGCCTGGAACTATACCACACTCACTTGCAACTCCCAGACTTTGCACATGCCAATCCGTGTGTCCCCTTGTGATGTGGCATCCCACCAGCCTTCCCTTTGTTTCCTATAGGCACCAAACTCTTTCCAGCCCCAGGTTCTCACCATATGCTGGTCCCTCTGGCTAATATGCTTTTTCTCTACTCTTGACTAACTCAGTCCTCAGGATTCAGTGACTTTTGTTTAGTGAGATCTACTCTTGTGTCTTCCAGGCAGTTGAACAAATGGAAGTGTTCCTTGGTAGGTTTCAGTCATGGTATCAGTCACATGCCTCCCTGTGACTGCGATTTCTGTCACTCTCCCCTCCCCATGTAAGAGGTGGTAAACTCCTCAAAGCAGAGACAGGCTCTCCTCTCCAGCTTGCCAGCTTGCTCAATCTATGCCCATGATATCTATATTTTCATTGTTGTGCTTGGTGTCCTCCACATCTATTAAGACACTCCACTAGTTCTCACCCCTTGTACTCTTTTTCTTTCTTTCTTTCTTTCTTTCTTTCTTTCTTTCTTTTTTTTTTTTTTTTTTTTTGTGGCTCTGGTGATCACAACAGGGCCCTAGCATGTTAAGCCAGCACTTCACACTGGGCTACCCTCTGGTCGCCTTTTCTCTAGACCAGTCCTCCATTCCCTCCACAGCCCCAGGGCTCAGATTCACCCTCTGGGCTGCGCTTCCCCCCACAGCCTTCCCACTGCCACCCTATCCCTGTCCACTGCCCACATTATGGCTCCAGAATTGTTACACCTCAACTCGTTTCCTACAGCTCCTCCCAGAAGCCAAATGTCTCAAGGATGGCATTTGAGGGCCTCTGTCTCCAGTCACTCCAGGTCTCCTACCTTGCCCTAAAAGTGATGACTTTGCTAAGCTTTCATGCTGGCCTTTCGGTCTCGCCCTCACCTTCTCCATCTGTAATACTTCCCTGCAAGAGCCACTCATGGGCAACGAATGCGATTTGGGGACACCTTCTATGTGCCACCCACCTTTCATAATTTATCCTTTAGTTCTCAAAACACGTTAAAAATGATAATTATCATTTTCCTATTTTACAGACATGAAAACTGAGGTTCCAGAAAGGGAGGTTCCGAACAGGACTCCAGGTCTGATCCCAGAACTGCTGTGCACCGTTCTCTCTGGGAGTTGCGCCCAGCCCTTCGGTCTGAGGAAAAGCGCGTTCTCCTAGGTGGCTGCCCAGCTCGTCGTTGGCGTCTCTCTGGTCCCGGTGCTGCACCCGGTCTCCGTGCACTGCCGTCTGTGCGGCCTCCCAACCACACCAACGCGAGCCCCCCAGGGCAGCCTGAGCGGACCAGCTGGGTCCTGAGCTGAACATCCGGTAGTGTACAGCTGCTCTGTGATATTCCCAATAAAGGGAAGGCAGAGGTATTTCGGGTAGTTTAGAAGCCCATCTCTAAGCTAACTAATCCCCATGCAGTGACCGGAGACAGGATCTTTGCAAATGGAGACTTCTGGCAAGCCGCCAACAGAACACGGGGCCCCACGCCCCCGCCGGCCAGCACGTGCTCGGTTCCCCTGCCCGCAGCCGGCTGTCGGGCTGCACCAACCTCCGCAGGGGGGTTCTACGGGCGAACCGAGGCAGCCGCCAGAGTGACTAGGCGAGCTCCTGGGAACCAGGACCCCAGAGCCTCTGCCTCCCGCACCCCGCCACGCCCACGCAACGCAGCCCCCGCGCGCTCTCGCGCCGCCCGGAGCTGAGCAGCGAGTGCTGCCCTGCCTTCCCCGCGCCGGGACGTGGTGCGGGCCGCGGGCTGGAACGGCCCGCCCCCCAGGCACGTCGGGCCCGCCCCCTTGTGAGGTTATAAAGTGCGCGCTCCCTGCGGCGAGTGTAGCGGCCGTCTCCGGGCTCGTTGGTCTTGGCTCTTCGTGCCGCGCGGGCCCCGGCTCCCGGGGCCTCAGCCGCTCCGCTTGGGTGCCATCTGCGGGCTCCTTGCTCTGCTTGAAGCCCTGGCCCCGGCGGCCAGGGCATGGACCAGGGGCGTGGTGCGAGGCGGCTTCTCGTGTGGCCCTGACCTGCACCGACTTCAGCATGAAGACGCTCATAGCAGCTTATTCTGGGGTCCTGCGAGGTGAGCGTCGGGCCAAGGCTGCCCGAAGTGAGAGCTCCAGTGGAAGATCTGTGTTGACCCGTGAAGGGTCTGGGAGATGGGGTGAGTGTCTGTCGCACCTGGAGACTTTGATCTTGGTAGTGTGCCGCTGCAAGGTTTCCAGGAAAGGGTTCTGAGGCAGGCTGACTGGTTAGTGCTGGAGGACTGGCCACAGCAGGATGAGTTCCCAGCTCCTACCTTTTCCCTTGGAGAAACTCACAGCCTGCTCCAGTTATCTGGGTCCATGATGAAAGAAGAATCGTCATTATCTAGCCTGGTTATCCAGTCTGAACCAGGCAGTTTGGCAACCTAGTCAAGTCCGGGTTCATTCTCCATTCTCGTACGTACTCATCACTTTTTTCGACATCTGTTACATCATCTCCTGTCCCCCCCCCCCACGATGAGAATGAAACCATCCACCCTTCCCGGTTATTAGGAGCTTTGGAGAACACCTCTCCAGTTTCCAGTACTGTTTTCTGACCCCTGGTGGTTTTCTCCCCATCCCCTCACCAGGCTGAGCGAGCTTTGAAAGCAAGAGACAGGATGGGGTAGGGTGGCAAGGGTTTTGCAATCCCCTAAAGCAACCGCTGGATGGGGACCATGTCTGGCTGGGACAGGTGTACTCTCACTGTCCTCTGGCTTGCATCCATCTGCCAGTCCAGACCAAGGAACTTAGAAGGCAGGGTGGGTTGGGTAGGTGCTGGTTGTCTTCCAGGGTGGAACTCAGGGCCTCAAGGAATCAAGGGTGCAATAGAAATCAAGTGCCACAAATTTCCCTATGCAAGGAAAAGCACTCCTTCCACTGTCATGCTTGGCTGTAGTTGGAGAAACTGAGCCAGAAGGAAACGTTCTGACCAGTTTCCTTAGCAGATGCCTTGAGTGGGGGATTAAATACAAATCCAGGAGGCTCTGGGAGTCATCCCAGCTATCCTGATCTGCAAGTCTGTCGTGTATGAGGCCTTTCTCTGTCCTAAGCCTTTTTTCTGCTTGCTAAACCACAGCTACTTGGGATTTTTCTTTCGTAACAAATAATTCCCTGCTCTTTCAACTTTATGTTATATATCTATATGTATATGCATATATATGCATATGCATATGTATATATATGTATATGCTAGTTATGGAAACCTTGGGACAGACAAGAAGAAAATAAAAATTGCTGGTAAGTCACCTATCCAAAGATAGCTTCCTATTAGTATTTTAGAATATTTATTTATAATTTTCCTTATACATATATTATAATGTTGGGGATACACTGTAGATAAAGTTCTGAATCCTGTTTCTTTTTCTTGGTGTTACATCATGAGTATTTCCTATTATTAATCAAAATCGTTTTTAATATATTGACGGCTACAAGGTAACCTATGCTGCGGCTGTATCCAAGTTCTGCTGTCCTGGGCATTGACATTTTTCCTCGATGATTGCTCTGGTTATCTGCCCTCTTGGTCTGGGTGCTGCTTGTTCCCTTGAGGAGGGACAGAGCTGCTGTTGCCATCCTTGAGTGACCAGCCTGAGCTGTCTCATGCACCAGCTCAGCAACCTTTGGTAGCCTCTTCTGTCACTTAGAGTGCTTTTCTGGTCACTGTGCCCTTTGATGCCCTTAGCAAGGAAGGAAGGGAAATGTCTGTGTTTTAAAAATGTTTCGGTCTCCAGATATTAGGGTAGGGGTGCTCGCTTCTGTGCTCCTTGCTGGAGAACCCCTTCCTGGGTTCTGCTCTCCACCAGCTGTGAGCTGTGTCCTCCAGGAAACAAGGGACCCTAGCTCTATATCTGGCCTAGAGTTTGTAACTCAGGAGAATTTGTACTCAAGCCGGTGGTTTTGATCAAGTCACATAATAGCATATCAGGATCATTTCCCCATATTATTATCAGATCTTGAAAATATAATATTTAAAAACTAGGTGTGAGAAGTTATAGCATGGAATGTAGCAAGAGCTAATACGCAAACCAGTCAGTTTAGCTCTTCAGAGTCTACTTGGTGAAAGACTGGGTGGGGTATGGGAGGTGCTAAAGCAGATTTTATATTATCTTGGTATCTCCACTAGTCCTGCTTTCTACATCTTCAGCCCTGGAAGACACTTCCCAATGGCCTAGCTTGCCTCTGCAGTTAAGTTCCCAGTGTTATGAAGTAGTGAGCACGCTGTCACTGGCAGTATTCAAGGAGAGACCATGGATTCTATGAAGGAAAGTACTGTGATGGGTGAGAGATTGCAACAGATACCTTGGTGCCTGGTTTCTTTGTAGCAGTGTGGGTAGAGGAATGGGAGGATATGGGGGGGGGCAGGTGTTGGTGTCTTCTAATCTCTGAAGGAAGTCTTGGTCCAGGCATGCAGACTGCTGAATAGCTGCATCGACAGCTCTGCTTCTGCCCCTGCATGGGGGCTCTTCAGGGCAGAGCCCTTGAGTGCTGAGTGCCTGCTTACCTGCATCCTCAGGGCTCAGCACAGGACTGAGCGTGAGGTGGTGACAGTAAGATTCTGAGCTGATGTATTCTGTGGGGCTTCAAAGAGCAGGAACTGGGGTGGGATTATGGAGGGAGTAGGTTGTCATGTAGTACAAGAACCCCTTAACAGCTGTTGATGACTGCGCAGGTTCGGGTGGTGTGGGTGGTGTTCTCCATTTGTGGGGCATGCACATAGGGGTAAAACAAAGTACCCAGGTTGTTAGGGATAACTTGGAACCGAGGAACTCAATCAGAGAAGAGAGCATCACTTTCATGTTCCCCCTCCCTCAATTTTGTGTGGCATTTCTCCTCCTTTCCATCACTTCCCCAGCTTCACAGAGATGACTTTGGGGTTACCTGTGTTACCAAGGGCTCACCTGGGCTGGGAAAGGAGAGCCAAGAGTAAGATTTTATTAGCAGGCTGAATGACTCAGCTGCCAGTGTAGAAATCCAGCCACACCTCTGTCCTCCTGCCACCAAATTCAGTGCAAGAATTGAGTCACCACAACATAGCTATCTATTAATGCTGGACCTGGTTCAACTCCTGGTACAGATGGGAGCCCAGAGGTCCCCTGAGAAGAAGCGACTCTCCCAGGAGTATAGTACCAGGCTCAAGCCCAAGCCATCACACAGTCTGCGGCTCAGACGAGAGGAGTGTGTTGAGGCCTGGAAGGCTGAACACTACACAGCATGCGTGCTTAGTTTGCTGAATTGCTGTACAGTGAAGGTTGCCCCAGGTCCCCTTGCTGGGGCTCCAGGCTTTGTGAAGAAGCTCTCCGCACTGCCCAGCTTGCAAGACCAGCAGCCCGCAGAGCTTCTTTTCCCAGGGGAACTGCTTGTCACTGTCACCCCCATACTTGATACCTTCTAGACTCCTCCCTGGGGCCTGTGGGGCCACATGCATGCCCCCCCACCTCACAGCCTTCTGTCCTCCATGCCACCCACCTCCAGACACACCAGGGGACATTTTGATCCGCTAGCACTGCCCCAATACAGCCCTATGTCAGGGCCTTTGTGTGTGCTGTCTTCCTGCCACATCTTGGCATGGCTGGCTTCTGAACACCTGGTCTCCTCTCTGAGGCCATCCCTGGCCACCTGCGTGGAGAGCCAGCCTAGCTACCACATAGTTTTCTTTCATGGCTCTTAGCATTATCTAAATTATCATGTGTGTTTATCTGTTCAGATAATTGTCTCCTCCATAAGAATCTCAGCCCTTGGGAACAGGAACCTTGTCTGCTTTAGTGGGTGTCTTGTGCCTAGTGCACTTGTGTCCCTACTACCTACCTCAGTCTGTGGCAGATAGCAGGTACTCAGTAAATATTAGTTGACTGAATGAATCATTAATGGGACTTCCCTGTTCCTCTTGGCATGAAGCCCTTTTAGCTTCCGTGTGCTTCCTCGAATCTTCTTCGGGCCTCTTTCCTACCTGTTCTGGGTGCTGGGGCTACAGCTATTCCTTGCCCTGGAGACATGTGATCTAGCCACAAGCTGGCCCCTGGGGCTGGGTGTTGAGTGCGTAGAGCCGGACTTGAAACAGTTCCCCTTATGGCTTCCAGAGTGTAGATGGCAGAGAGCTAGGATTCTAGCCCTGCCTTTTCTCTGGGACATGGCTGAATATCTCACTTCCTCTCTGAAGGTCTCACTCCCCCTTGCCTCTGATATAAAATTGGAAATCTCAGACATTCGCCATGAGGGTTTAGATTAAGGTGAGCATAAAGTGCTATGTAAGCTGACTTCGTGACACTCATGTGAGTGAGTCCTTGTCATTTGTTGTGTACAACCCACAGCAATCCCCATGTTGATGTGGAGAATAACATACTATTCTCTGGGGCATCCATTAAAGCTGCACCAAAGTGGGGAGGTCAGGTGTGGGCCCGTCAGCATAGTGACTGGACACCTTCTGCATGTCCACCAAGATCCAAGCCTTCCAGGAAACAAGACCAGGGTGCACAAGATGGTGGTAGAGAGCGATCTGAGCCGTAATAGGGAGCAAAAGGCAACTGTGACGCCTACAGGGGAGGAGAAGGGACTGGGGTTAGAGAGGTCTTCCTGGAAGAGGTGCAGTCTGGATCTTGATAGATGTTAGCAAGGAAGCAAGAACATTCAGGTATAAGGAATAGCATAAACAAAGGCATGTGAGTTGGGTAGAGCGGGCGGTCTGACTGCAGACCGACTTGGGCAGCAGTCCTGCTTCTATGCCGAAAAGCAGAGATGAAAGAGACAGCACATGTTGTCCAGGCCTGTGGAGGTCATCTGGGGAAGAAATGAGAGCCCTTCTGAACGGAGCTGGGAGTGGTCAGAGTTTCGTGGTCTCTTCCATCCTGGAGACTCCTGCTGTAGACCTGCAGTTGGCCAACGGGATCTTGTCTCGGCGTCAGGTGCAGGGTCTGTGCAGCTGCCACTCTGCCACTGCCCCACTGTGCAGCCTCGGCCAGCCACTGCCCCCTCCCGACTCTCAGTCTTCTGTATGCAACGGACAGAAGGTGATAAGTGGTGCCGAACTTGGACCCTTTGGGCCTATCCCAAATAGCGAGAAACCTAGACTCCTTTCCTTATAAGAGCAGGTAGCAGTTCTTTGCCAAGGCCGGGAGCCTGACTCTGCATCCGCTTCCTGTGTACC